TTTTTTTAATTTATATTGCAAAATAACAAAAGCTGAAAGTTAAAATAAAGTTTCAAATCAAGAAGTAATTAAATATAATTTCTTGTTTAGTAAAGTTATATTTGAAAAAATTAGATTTTACAAAAAATTTTATGTAGAATATATAGTATAACAAAAAGTTAAAAAAGAATTATAATAATGATATTTTATGGGATAATCTTAGAAAAGTAAAAGTAAAAGCCAAAAAGATTTTAGTAAAATTAGAGAAGAAAAAATCAAATACATACAATCAATTTCTATATGAAATATTTTAAATTAAATTCAAATAATATTTAAGATATTATTGAAGATATTTTAATTAAAAATTAAGATATCATTTCATAATCATCTGATGAGACTGTGAATTTAATTTACAATCTAATTATATGATATTTTTTTATAATGATAAAATAATTAAATATAAATTTTTTATAAATTTATATTTTTATATTTTATATTTTAAATTTAAATTTATATAATAAAATAAAAGTCTTTTGATGATATTTAAATGAGAATAAAATCAATTTATTAAGTAGAAAATTGTAAAAAAAAAATGTAAAAAAAATTAAACTAATTATTTAAAACTAATTCTTCAGGATCTTACTCCTCATCATTTTTACTATTATATATATTAATGTTACAGTCAGTTCTTTGAAATACTTATAAGTGATAAGTGAAGCAATATTTTGAGTGATAAGTAGAAGGTTTAATTTGTAATTAGATTTAGAAGAGTATTGATCAATTTAACAATTTATTTAATAACTATAATAATAGAGTATTGCCTTAGTCAGCATTCTGTACTTTACAAGTATGTTAAAGGAATTAAACTAAAAAGAAAATATCCTCTATTTATATAAAATGAAATACATAAAGTTATCAAAAATATAAAATAAATAAATAAAATATATGAAATAAATATAATAAAATAAATATATGAGATAAATAGAATAAAATAAATAAAAGAAATATATTGTATAAAAGAAATATATGCTATAGATAAAATAGATAACATATATGATTTCCTAGAGATTGACATCATCCTTTAGATTATTATCATCCATGTCTTCTTCTATATAATATTAGTAATAGTTAGAAGTACAGTATTATCTATATATATTCATGATTCTAAAGATATTAAATTTTTAATATCTAACTTTTCATTAATATTTTGTAATGATGATTCTTCTTTTAATTCATTTTAAATTAATTCTTTATTATCTTCATTTTTATTTTGTAAATTTCTTTCTTCATAAATAATATCTAATATTTGTTGAATATTATAATCATTTGATGAAATATAATTTAAATTTTTTATTATTAAGATTATAACAATATATTTTTATTATAGATTTAAATGTTTATGTATTTAAATTTATTTTTTATTTTTCAAAAACCATCTAAGTGAAGAGAATAAACATTTACAGTTTGCTGAATGTGATGTAATAAAAAATAATTTTTGCTAATCTAGATAATGAAGAATATCTATCGATAATAAAATTCTACCATAAGTATAATGTATTTTGATTAGGTATATAAGATAAATTATAACAACCATCTTAATCAAAATATTTGCAAATTTGTATATATAATTCTTGATCAAAGGATTTTTTGTAACTGAGATTTTTGTTTTTTATAAATATTCAAAATATATATTATAAATATTATATCTTATAATGAATTTTAAAATTATTTTACAATTACTATAATAAAAATAAATAAAAAAATTTAATTATCTCAGTATTTGTGAATGAAGAAAAAAAACTAAAAGATAAATATCATTATCAAATTCTAGATATTTAAAAAATATAAATTAAATATTAGATAATAATAAATTTAAAAGTAATATTAAATAATAATTATATAATTATACCTTTTATTAAAAGCTTTAATGCAAGTATTTTTTAATATTTAATAATAAATCATTAACATTATTTTAAAATAAGCTATTATTCTAAGTAGTTGCAGATAGCAATCTATTAAATTAGTATTTTTACCTTTTAATGCTAATAATATAGCATCTTTAATTGGTTTAAAAATTTCTGATAAATTTTTAACATCATCAAAAAAAATTCTGTTTTCCTTAATATTGATTTAATAGAATCATTTTTGATTTTATTTTCATAATGATTTAATACCTAATTAAATAAAGAGTTTAAAAATTTAAATTATATTTTTTATTTATTTAAATATATATTAAATAAATTATTATAAAAACAAATATTATAAAATATAAAATATACATATTGTAAAGCTTTTTTAATTTTCATATAGAAGTAACACATTCATAAATTATTATTCAACAAGTTTTAATATACTTTGCTGAAACTCCTAATTTAGCAGTTTTAATACTACTAATATGTGACTATCATGTGATTATATAGTTGATTGATAGTTGCATTTTTATCAGAATTTCTATATGATTTCTTTATATCAACTATATAGATATAATAAATTTTTTTTGTAATTTTAAATTTTATATCAACTTAATTTTTTAATGATCCATTTTTTATTATATTCTTTTAATTGATCATATTTTTATCGATTTTTTATATATTTTTATAGATTCTTCTTTTATTAATGTATTATTTTTTTAATATAATAAATTTTATTTAAGTTATGTAATCTTTTTTGTATTTTTTTTTTTGTGTTTTTATTATCATATTTTTTTTCATTTGTATCTTAGTTTTTTATATCTTCAATATTTATTGTATTTTGCAAATGCAAAAATATTTTTACTAATCTAAATACAAAAAAAAAACTCATCAATTTACTCTTTTGATATTAAAAATAGTTTCTTATTCATTCTTCATTCATTTTTATCACTTTTTATTTTGTGTAACCTTTTTTAATTTGTTTTTTTTAGAAATAAATATTTTTGAATTTCAATATGTTAAGAAATAATAAGTCAATTTATACTAAAAATTTTATAAAATCTAAACTATATCTATAGTAAAATCTTCAAAACTAAAGTAGTTTCATAAAGTTCTGAATAATTGATAAACTTAATAATAGTGTAATAGATAATAAAATTAAAATAATCAAAATTAAAGTATCTTAGATATTAAAAATGTAGTATAAAGTTAATAAGAAGTGAATAAAGTGATAATTAAAAACTGTAAATAAAATGTAATTTTTGATATTTCTTAAAGTTCACAAATAAAAATTAATTTTTTTAATATTTCTTAAAGTTTTTAAATAATATAATATTAAGTAATATTTTATATCAAATAAGAAAATAAATTATTATCATAAAAAGAAATATAAAATTATTAATTGAATTAGAATAAGAAATATTTGAATTATTTTAACTAATAGGATTAAACTACTATCAAATTAATTTGTATTAAAAATTTTTACTATTTCATTTTCTTCAATATCCTGCTCTATATTACAATGAAAGCTTCAAAGCAATGTTTTTGCCAGATCTACTTAATACTTTACAATATATTGTAATTCCATTAAGCTTTTTAATAGCTTCAATATTATAATTTATATAGTATTTTGAATGCTTCCTTAACTAATAATACGAGCTGATCTATAGTATTACATTTTTTAAGTTTAATTCTATTGGTACCTTTTATATATTTGTGTAGTATTTTCTCAACAACTTCCTGAGAAATAAATTCATTGATGTCTGAATTTGTTAGTGCAGTTGTATTAAGCTCTTCTCTTAATCATATTTCCTTTAATTCACTGATCTTTGTTACAATTATTTTATTGAATTTGTTATGATAGTCTAATAAAGTATATTTAGAATGGCTGATGATCTCTTTAGTATTATTAGTAAAAAGGTCATAATCAAATGTATTCTTTATAAGTTCTTTATGATACTCTATATCTAAGAAAAAAACATTTAATTTCTTCATCTCAAAGTCGAGCATATGCTTTATTTCATCTATTATAATCTTAGGTTTTTTGATTTTAGCTGATTCATTTATAAGAGACAAATTTAATGATATATTCAAAGTTGAGTACATCTGATTTACTATTGTTAGTATCTTTGGTCTTTCTATTAGCCATTAATAAATCTAAAAACATTTGTTATTTTCTTAAATGCTTTAGGTTTTCCTAAAATAAATCAAATTATATGAAAGTTAATAAGAAACATAAAGTCAATAACAAATTTTGATAACAATTACTTGATATCTTACTAGAATATTTGATAATTTTCTCATTATTCTTATTGAGAATTTCATAAATATCATTATTTCTTTATCTTTTAATAGTTTTTGTTATTTTTTCGTAGTGAATGTCTAATTTAAGATAAATATGTTATATAAACTTAAAGCTATACTATACAAGTTAATAAAATAATATATTTATATTTACTAACTTCTTCATCTTCACTATCTGTTAATTGTAACAGATTAGTGATTCTAGTCTCTCTAGTCCTTTTTGTAAACTAATTGTTTTTTATGAGATTTTTAACAGATATATATGTTAATATATTACTAACACCATTGAAACAAATAAAGTCATCATCAAATCTTATTTGAAATTCTTTCTGATCATAATAATAATAATAATAAAAATTAGTTTAAAGTTAATTTTAAAGAAAGCAATTTTCTTGAATAATTCACAAAATTCTTACTTGTAGAATTATCATATTTATTGTAATTATTATAATTAAGATTATTATTATTATTATGACTGTCATTATCATTATTATTTTCGTTCTTATTATATATTAAACTTACTAATAATCTAGCTAGTTCTTTTTCTTTTTTATGACCTTTTAATTATAAAAATTACTTGCTTTTAATGTTAGATAATTGTAATAAATAATTCAATATATTGCTTATTCGCAATATTATTGTCATTATCACTGTCTTTAATATTAATATTTATTCTTATTCTCATCATCATTTTTAGGTATAGTTAAACTTTTTAAACTTATTCTTTTACAATCTAATAGTATTAAAATATTATTTTGTATATAAAAATTTAAAATAATTAATAATTAAATTAATTAAATTACTAACCTATAATAGATGTAATAAAGGTAAGTTTTGTAACAGTTTTTCCTCTACCATAACTATGACTACTTTTTCAAGCTCTTCTAATTATAATAATAAATATTATTATATATTTTTTGAAAATAATTATAAATAATTTACTTACTTATAGCAGTATCATCAATAGGTATAATAAACTTATTTTTCATTATGGTCTTTTCTTTACCACAACTATAACCACAATTATGTTTATCTTTTTCATAATTATCACCTGTTAAAAAAACAAAAAATAAAATTCCAATGAATAAAATCAATTAAAAATTAAAAATTTATTAATATTAATTGTTACAACTGCCTGTTTTTAGTTTAAATAATAATCAGATTTACTAATCTGTTTTTTCTTATAATCATTATTAGCTAAATAAATAAAAAGATATTTTTGTAATTTATATAAAAAAGATATTTATTATTTTAAATTATAATTCATTAACTACTATATTACCTACTGATTTTTTAGTTTTTGTCATCTTTTGAAATTGTAAAATTAAGAGTCGGTAAAATGAAAGTATTAATTGTTAAATTGTAAATAAAATGTTCTTTTTATAAATTTTTATATCAAATTAGACAGTTTAGACTTTATCTTTTTTGATATAAATAATTATTATATAATATTAATTAAATGCTTAATATATTTTAATCTAATAATAGCAAAAACTAAGATATAATAAAAATCTCAATTTTGTTAAATAATTCTTAGAATCTGATTTTTTTAGCAATTAACCTATATAATTCTAAATGTTTAAAAATAGTTATCTACTTTTTTTTAAAATTATTAATTGTATCAGAGTCTATTGTCATTTAAAAGATATTATTAATATTATTAATTACTAAACAAATCCATATTACATAATTTTATTAGTAAACAAATTTTGTGTAATAATAAAGAAAAATTTTGATCATATTACAAGTTATTAACTATATATATTTGTATAATAATTTGACTTAATAGGATTTATTATTTAGATTATATATTACCTCATATAATATTTTTTGATATTTTTTGTTAATTAAAAAAATGTATGAAGTATAAAATTTATTAAATTTTAAGATATTTTTTTAAGATCCTTCTGAACTTAAAACTTTATAAGCCTATTTTTTGCATTATTAAATAAGGCTAAGTGTATCTTTTTTGAACTTAGGTTATAGAAAATGGTTTGTATATAGACTTTTAAATAAAATTAAATTTTTTATTTTATACTAAATTTAAAAAAGCTAATTTTGATTAATTTCTTTTTTATTATTTCCATAATAGCATTTAACTCTTAAATATTTTATGTAGAAGGTAAATTATTTAAAATATTATTAATTTCTTTTTCAATTAGCATTATTTCTTTAAGTAATGAGGGATTTAATATTTCTTTTTTTTTATTTGTAGTAACTATTCTTTAACATTTAGAAGCAGATTCTTTATCATTTAATTATTTATTGATTAGTATTTTATGTGTTAAATAAAACATATTTCATTATTTCCTTCTAAAGATGATACTGCAACTAGTTGCAACTGGTAAAAAATAACTATCACATAGTTGCAACTAGTTGTAGTGTTATCTTTATTTTCTTCAAACATTTTCCTTTTTTGTGAAAATACTATTAACTTACTTATTGATTTTATATTTGTTTTAACTTTTTCTAAATGGTATCTTTCTTTTGTATTTATTTTTTCAGTTTTAATGACTTCTTGACAATAAATTTTCTTTATTCTTTTTAGTCTTTTATTATTAATTTTTCTAATTCTTCTGAATTTGATTGTGATAGTATATATTTTTAAAAAGTTTATGTTCTGTATAATTACCTATTTTGAATATTTTAACTAAATTTTCTATTAATTTCTATAAAGGATTGATTTTATTATCTATTTTATGATCTTTTCTATTATAATTATAAGAAAAATATATTTATAACATCCTGTTACATGTTTTATTTATAACACCCTTTTTTATTTTTCTTAATAATAAATTATTTTATTAAATATTTTATAAATAAGATTTTTAAATGCAAAATTTAATTAGAAAACTTTTACTTAATGTATTAAGACAGTTTTATAGATAAAATTTTTAGTTACAAACAGTTTTTTGAAATTTTTTAAAAAAATTCTTATTTTCATTATATAACGGATCTTTTGTTTTGATTTGCTAAATTATTGACATTACACCTAATCTTAAATTTTGATTGGATAAAATTTTAGGTATTACAAATAAGATATGTAACAGAATAGTACAATTAGATTTATCCATAATTATAAGGGTTTAAAAATTCAGTTAATAATACATCAATTCTTTCTCTTTCTTTTTGAGTTGTTTGGATTTAAAGATTTAAATTTTCTTGATCAATAGCATTTCTGATTATATTTTGTTTAATATATTTAACTTTATATATTTTTAAAGCTTCATTAAATGCTAAATAATATTCCTTTCTTATTAAATTAATAGAAATACAATCTTAGAGTTTTTTTCTAAATTAGGATATTTTTTAAGAATCGATAAAAATAAGCTATAGATATCATATAATTGTTTTTACTGACGGCTGAAAAGAGAGGTGCAAAAACTATTTGATTATTATGCTATAATTTATAATTACTTATACATATTCTGATAAGGTAACTTTTCTATATTGAAAAATATTTATAATAAAAATATCAAATTTTAACACACATATTTTTATCTATTAGTTTAGTTGAAATATCTTCAATACTAATATTCTTTTTTTTGCATAAATTTGAATTGCAACTCTAATAATAACTTATATTAATTTTAATACTCTTCTTGTTAATCTATAATCAATAACTGCTTGAAGTTTATCTAAAAAATAAACTCCAATTGCTGCAGCTAAATGAAAATTTTCATAACTTGAAAAAATAGTAAGTAATATATTAAGCATATCTTTTGATATATGTCATTAATCTAATATAAGTCTTATTTTTCTTATTAAGTATGTGATTTAATCATTCTTATGAAAATGGTTTTATTTGTACAGATATTTAAATATTTATCATCATTTAATAAAAGTTCTTTTTTATACATCTGTATATCATGAAAAATTTCATTATCATCATTTAAAGAACCAGTGAAAGTTAAAATAACTATATTAGGAAGTAGGATTAAATAACTAAATTCACATTAGGTAAGAGTTTTCTTTTAAATTATTTCAATATCTAAATTTTTGATTTTCATTTATATTTATCTAAAAATTTAGTAAAGGTTTAAAAGTATAATCAATTTACTTTATATTATATATATTTTATGTGTTATTCTAAAAAGATAAGTATCAGCATTTAATTTTTTAATTAGTTCAAGTCTTTTGTTAACAAATATAGATAATATTGATTGAAATACCATTCTTAATATTACATGTAATGTTCTATATATTATATTATAAATATTATAAAATTCAAAACTAGCTTCTTTATAATTTATGTTATTAATTACAGCTAAATTAAACACATTTTTTTCAATTATTAATTGCTTTATAAGATCAATATTTTATGTTCTAGTTTTTTTTACCGATGCTTATGGTGATTTGTATATCCAATAACAAAACATTTTGTTAATAATGTATGAAGAGAAGAAATTAATTTTGATCTCTGACTTAAAAATGATAATATAATAAGAAGCTAAAAATTAAAATAAGGAAAAGCATATCTACTGATACTAAAAGTAAGAAGAAAATAGTTTTGTTTATTTTTTGAGAATCAGATTCTTTTAAAAGTTTATTTTATAATATATTTTTCAATTAATTGAATTATTTTTTTTGATTCTAATTATAAAAACATTTGTTTAAAGAAAATTTTTAAAAATTTAGGAAATATATTAATTTGCAATTCACCAGAAATGGAAAGAATATGCATAATATCGATCGGGGCAATTTTATATAATTAATTATAAAAAAAACTGTAATTAGAAAAATGTCATGTAGTACAAACTCCTAAATTAATGATAAAACATACCAAATATATATAATAAAAAACATTACTTAAAACTTAAGATATTTATTTCATTAAAAAAATTTTACACTTTATTTGACAGATTTTGCATAAACGCCTTGACGGCTCAGGATTATGTGTTTAAAATGTAAAATTACAAAAATTCAAAAGTGAAAAAAAAGTGGAAAAAAAATGGTTTAAGCTCACTTAGACGTCAAATATATATATTATATGCAGTTTTTATTATTATTTGGCCATAGTTTTGGCCATTGCTTGCTTGTGTTGGCAGGAATAACGGCTAATCCAGTTTTCAATTATTTTCAACTTTAGTATATTACTCTTCTCTAGCTTACCTATTTTTACTTTTTTTTTGTAGTGTCTCAAGCATTTCTTTTGCAGAATATCATTCACTTTTATGGACGAGTATGGAAAAAACCTTTCAATAATTCCATTATTCCTTCAGGTATATATTTTCTGCCACCTTTTTTTCCATATTTCTGGTTTTCTTTTAAAGCTCAACTGATTTGAAAATAGTCATTTCTAGAGAAACAACATATATCTGATATTATTATTGCAAGTTATAATGATATTTTTCTATTTTTTGAAGTAGTTATACTTACTCATTTTCTTTTCTCTTTTTCTTTTTTTCATCTTTCCTTTCTTCGTTCTTAATTCTGTAATGTTATTATTTTTCTTGTTTTCTATTGTATCAATTACCTTTCTTGCCTCTATGTAATAAAGTGATTAGTTGAATTTTATTGCAAGTTAATTTGCAAAAAAAAAATAATTTATTACTTGCTAATTTATTTATTGTATCACATGCAATATTTTCTCTCAAAATTGCAATTAACTCTTGCCGATTTTCTTTTTCATCAAAAATAGGGATCTTCTTTCTAACTCTTCTTTGATATTATCCTTTGTCAACCTGTTTATTTCAGCTATTTCATTTTAGGAATTATTGTTCTGATTTGTTAATGATATTGGAATTATCCATTTGAAATTTAGATTTGGATTTATAGGCGTAGAAATTGAAGGATTTGGTTGAAATTACTCATCACCTTTCATTGATTTACAAATAGCAGAGGGAGAGAAATCGTTTTATATTCCAAAGTTGGGAAGTGCTCTACCACATACAAAATCACTAAATTCTCCTTTAATAGGCCACTGAAATTTAAACCAATTTGAAATACCAGTCATCACAGATTTTTTTCTTTTTTCCTTTCGATCTAGTTCAATATTTACAACTGTTACTCCTCTAATACCTTTAATCGCTTCTTCTATGTTTTGATCTTCAGATATATCGTATTCTAGCCTAACATACTGTTTGATTGCATAAGAAATTTAGAAATAAGCCACAATAGAAGTTTATAAGTTACAGTTATAATTTACAACACAACTATCATACTAAATAACCTGAGTATAATATGAATTGATCGTTGTTTTGGCCTCTTCTGCCTCTAAAAAAACCTAACTTCAGATTTTCACATTATACCAGGATTTTCAGTTTGTAATCATAGCTATTAATTCAGCACAATGGTAGTGAGCGTC